AGGGACCCTGCATTTCAACAATGGTGGGCAGCCGAGTGGTGAACTTGTCGGTGGGTCTCAGCTGTCGAAGAGTTCTGTTGGAGAGCTTCCATACGAGACGCTGTCGGTGGGGGGAGTGTCTCTGGTTTTCATACTGATCCATCAGTTCAGCTACTACCTTCTGGCACTTACTGAAGCTGTCGTCAGCCACCTGGTGAAAATTGATAATGTCAAGACTCTCCATTCACATTTTTAAATTTCAATTCCTGACTCCATTACTGTTTGGGAAATGACTTACATACTGTAGCTTTATAGGTACAAAAGTTGACTATGATTATTAAGCAAATACTTTAAAATCTCTGCTTTTTAAGTACTATAGTTCAATATGATTAACCACATTTAAAAAATGAAACCTAAAAATAATACCTTACCTTGCATATGTTTTGCAGATGATCTATACAAGCATTGTGAAGTTGCTCATTGGCTGCATCGTGCCTCAGTTCCAGTGCCAGAAGAGCCAGGGCCAGCTCTGACGGTCTGAATGTGGCAGCTGCTGCGTCGCACTCCACGATCTCCAGCTTGTGCACAAGGGTGGTGAGGGATGTAGGGTGTGAGGACTGGGCAAGGTGGGGGGCAGCCAGATGGGAATGAGCGGCATGCAGGAGACGGAGCAGCGTAAGGGGCGTAACGGGTGGCTGGCAGCGCAGGTCTGTGGCCAGCTTGTCCATGATGATGCGCTCCATGCGGGTCACATCACCTGACGAGCATTTGCACTGAGAGATGGTGGTGAGGTCTCTGGTGTCTGGCACCACCTGGGGCACATCCCTCAGATGGCTGTAACCAGGGGTGAACTGGCATGAAAGATGGAATGCACTCACAGCAATGCAAGACAAATGCTTTGGCTGAGCCTGGAAAGAAACGGAAAGACACTTTACCAAACTGGAACACTTCATAATGCCGCTCATACAACTTGTCTATTTCAAAATCATCCAGAATGTTGAGCAAACCTGGGTTTTCATGCGAGCTCTACTTACCTTCATGCGTGTGAGGAAACGATCCATGATGTTGACTGCGTTGAAAAAGGTATCGGGTGGAAGGTCATACCACACCTTCAAGCAACGCAGCACATGGGCCGAACCATTGCGCATCCTCATGCTGATCTCCCCACCATCCTGCTGGAGAAGGAATTGAACCATTAGTAACATGGGACAAATTATTCCAAATCTGTATTGAATGTTTCCATAACACAACAGAACAAAAGGACAATCTAAAAAATAAAAATATCCCCCATAAATACTCCTTCCTAGCCATAACCAAGAGACAGCTGGATCAAAACAAGAGAAAGCAAACAAGAAAAAACAACAACACTTTCAAGGTAGAGAAGGCAGAAAAAAAAGTATGACTCCAGCTACCTCAGTTGGGGATAAGCCTAAACCAATTCACTATCTCTCCTGAGCCAAGTGCTTCCCTTGATTGTACCTGGGGGAGGGGGTTGTGTGAGAGGGAGAAGAGGGGGTAAGGATGTGGGAGGGGGGGAAGGGGGGACGATTGTGGGAGGGAGAAAAGGAGGTAGCTGTGTGGGAGGGCTCTAAGGAGAGAGAGTAACAGGAGATGGCATATTAGCACAAGGATCTCCCACAACAATGAAGATGACAACATACCGCCCCTGTTGCCTAGATCCCCTCTCAGGTTCCGAATTCAAGTTTGGAGAGATCCAAAAGGGGGGAGGTGGAGGATAGGGAGGAAGAAGAGGAAGAAGAAAGGAGGAGGAGGAGGAGGAGGAGGAGGAGGAGGAAGGAGGAGGAGGAGGGAGGAGGAGAGAGATGTGGAGGGGGGGGGGAAAGAGGAGTGCCAACCCTGTGCCCAGTGCCCTTGCGTACTCAGTAACCTCTCCCACCCCTTCAAAGGCTCGATCCCTAATCCACACTAATCCCCCAAGCTCCGTGTATCTCATTGAGAGGATTTCTTGACCAATGACACTTAGACGCTCTATTGACTTAGAAGGCTTAGCAATAATGAAATCTAAGGGACAGTGGCTTAAAGTAGGTCAAGTGACACCGCGATCGCTGCTGTCCTCCTTCCCTTGGCTCCGAAAGTGCTGATCGGTTACAGAACGTTGCTAATACGACCAACCACGCCAGAATCCGACCCCTACATCCATCTAAACATCAACGAACAGTCTAGAACTTCCGTGAGGTCAGTCACTCTACCGTTGCGTCATCAATATCTCCCTCCTTGGCTCAGGTCTACCAACACCAGACCCTCGAAAAACGGCGCATTAGCCCCTCCGGAAACACGAACGCTACGAAGCCGAGAAGCCCACGCCAATCGAACGGACAATTCGTACAAAAAACAGCGACAACGACGCCGATTACTAAAAATAAACCGACGTCATCGAGCGGAGGCGTCGGCGAGGTTGGCAGCCCTGTGCGATGCTGACTGAGGGGCCCGCTGGGGGTGGACCAAGGTGGAGGGGAGGGGAGGGGTAGGGGTGAAGGGTGGAAAGAGTGGGAGAGGGGAGGGGGATGGGTGTAGAGGGAGAGGGAGGGGATGGGCGGAGAGGTAGAGGGAGAGGAGGGGGAGGAGGAAGGGGAGCTGCCCGTGGCTTACACAAATGTCACATTTTCGTCTCGTTTGCGCTGGTTCCGTGGGGCGGGGATTCACTGGCGTGCAAGAGAGGGGATGCGAACACACGAAACACACTCAAGACACACGCAGGGGAAAGGAGATAGGGAATCGACGTCCAAGAGAGCAATAGTTGCCGTGAGAGTGGGGGAGGGGGGAGAGGGAGAGGTAAGGATGTGGGGAGGAAAGGGAGGAGAGGGAGAGGGGGAGAGAGATTTAGGGGCGGGGCTCGGGTGTCTCTTCTCACTCATCAATACTTGCTACTTTGAACTTTATCCTCCAATTAAACGCCCGTCGAGCTTAAACGTTCATCATCACTCTTCGAAACCACACACGCAAGACACATTCCCCAACTCGAAAACAACCCCAACCATACAAATAAAAAAACAAAAAACGCAAGTCTTCCCAACAAGGAACGGGAAGGAGGTAGGGGGAGAGGGGATACGGGCGTGTGGGGGGATGAGAGGAGGGAGGGAGGGAGGAGGGAGGGAGGGAGACGGGACAGCAGCGCCCCTCCTCCCCGCTCTCTCAACTACCTGGACCTTTAAATTTGAAAAAGGTTGTTCGGGAAGAAAACAAAGAGCGCCCTACCCCCACTCCCTCCCTCCCTCCTCCCCTTCGTTCCTATGGCAACAGCGATTCCCGAAACCCATGCGAACGGCCTGGAATGGGAATACCACAGAAAAGGAATGCTTGTCAGAGAAGCGCGGTACCCCGAAGCCACAATATCTGCTTTTTTGTCTTTGTATCTGCTTGCCGTGTTGCGTCAGCCTGGCATTCATGCGCACCATCCCGAGCGAGAAGTTCTATCTTTCGTTCCTTCCTTACTAAAGACAACTGTCAATAACGTTATACATCGAGCCAGAAATAATCGTTCACCAACTTCACTCTAAGCCTACGAGCTTATCACACACGAAGACAAGCAGCGGTACAGGAACACCGCAAGGGAAGAGGAAGTAAGATAATAATAAAAAAATAGAATAGCGAGAACTGGAAAAAGCAAGGAAACCAAACCAAACATTAAACCTGAACCTACGACCTCCCAAACACAATCTAAACCCCCCACCACTCTCTGCCCTCTACTAAGCCCCATGAACAACCTCCCCGAAACCCCACCCAACAAAGACCTTTTAAAACTTACCTTAGCAGTGTGCGGGAGTGCCAAGGCGGGCTGGTACTTAGGCTCGAGTGTCAGTGCCTCAAGCAACGGCGTTAGCAGGTCTTGGCCCTTCTCTGCTGCGCCTGTGGCAGGAGACTGTGCACACGCCATCTTCTCTTCTAATTACCAGCTCACTCTACACACAACCCACACCACACAGCTGCACCACCTGCGGAAAAGGAGAAAAAGACGTTAGCAACTCGGCGAAAGGGAGACACAGATCACAGCAAAAGTTCTAATCGATTGGCCCGTTCCTGGAGCTCACGTATAAACAGGCTTCTCACAGCCACAATTCTCTATCTCTTTTATTGACACACCAGCAGACAACAGTTCTACATAAAACTCATTCCAACACTTCAACACATCCCACAGATATCGATCGTCAACGAGTATATACAAACGGAAAATTTCCCTCCCCGAAAAACTCCCGTCGGTAACACACACAGGTGCAGCAAACCTATCGAAAGCTCTCCCTTACAGAGAAAGACTATTCCGGGATTTTTTATGAATCGCCACTCATTTTTTCCACCTTTAGCGTTCTCTCTCTTCTCCAAACGTACCTGCCAAGTTACGAAGTTGCGTTTACTCCATCGTGCCGTGTTGTTGTGGCATGCTTAGCAAAGAGGAGAGACGGGGGCGGCGGCGGCGGCGACGGAGGCCTCGCACGACGGCATAGAGAGCGACACCCGAAGGGAGATCTTGGGCCCAAACTAGCTCGAATTCCGGCCTGCGCGGCGTGTGGCCTCTCTCATGGTACGAGCGAGAGGCTTCAGATATGTTGCTTCATGGGAGAGATCCTAGGCTTAAGCGATTAAGCCGTTTGAAAATATCACAGACAGAATTTGTACAGAATTAGGCGAGATCCCGAGAGAACCGTGCTTCCCCAACCAAGGTTTTGTTTACACTGAGCGGCCGCGGCTGGAGGAGGATGCTTCAGCCGCGCCGCCGCACGCACCCGCCTCCGACCCGCGAACTAGTTCCCTAGTAACGCCACTCTTTTTAGCCACGTCCTTTGCTGCTTTCGGGCAATTTTGGGGCCAAATCACCCTTCAGGAACAGGAGAATCGTCCTAGAGGAAAGTCAGTTTCCAAAAAGCCCGAATAACGACTTCCTGCGAATCGCTTTGTTCATCAGCTGACACTGGGCTATTGACGTATGTCTCTTCAGATTTCGAATATGAAGCCCACCGACAGACATAACTTGATTCCCTTACCCCACACGCCAAATCACCCCCACCCTAAACAAAGACGAACTTAAACGACCAGAAAATAATTGAAAATGTATTTACAAACCCAATAAAACCGCAAATTAATTTTCCCACCGCCGACACCCGGCAACTCACCCAGCCAATGACGAGTGAACCTTGGACTAACCTACACTGTGTTCAAATAGATGGGTCTCCTACTGATTTCACTTGCTTATTAAACGTCCTATTTACATGATATGAAGATCAACATACATATGATCACTCCAGGTAAAGAGATATTCACAAACAATGCATAGGCGTACGTGGATAACCTTACTAGCCTATGTGCTTACGTCACGACCAAAACACCTTCAAAATATTCAGATGTGTTTACGTTCTGTCAACACCATATAAGGAAACTGTCATATATAGTGTCAATATTTCATTTGATTCAATTTCCCCATTCTTCTTCAATGCCTTTCATGCACTAACAATATATTTCAAAATGAGAAATTATATCCAAAGAAATATTGTATTATCGCTGTGATGAAAATTGGCTATGTAATATGAGAAATATATTGTATAACGAATCCTCCGTCCACCTGCATTTCAAAAATAATAGAAAGAGCTCAAATTCCTTGCAAATACTAAAATAAGTGAAACTGCTACCACGTACTGAACATGTATATGAAGTAAGAGGAGGAAAGGGAGGTGAGAGAGAGAGAGAGAGAGAGAGAGAGAGAGAGAGAGAGAGAGAGAGAGAGAGAGAGAGGAGAGAGAGAGAGAGGAGAGAGAGAGAGAGAGAGAGAGAGAGAGAGAGAGAGAGAGAGAAGAGAGAGAGAGAGAGAGAGAGAGAGAGAGAGAGAGAGAGAGAGAGAGAGAGAGAGAGAGAGAGAGAGAGAGAGAGAGAGAGAGAGAGAGAGAGAGAGAGAGAGAGAGAGAGAGAGAGAGAGAGAGAAGAGATGAGAGAGACCCGAGACGACCGAGACAACAGACACTAAACAGATACAAGGAACGTTCCCCAATGTCAAGAAAGAGTATTAGCATGTCGACTAAAATTCACATACAGCGCAAAGGAACGCGCGCCATCACCGCCAAAATCTTGGAAAACATCCACGGGACCAGCTGTTGCGGGAGGGGGGGGGGGGGAGTAGAGGAGGGATGGTAGTGGCCGGGGGAGACAGGGAGAGGGGGGGGGCTACTGACGTCACGAATACAAAACGGACTTCTGGGACTGTCACAACATTCGACTTCGTTTCCTGTGCGAGGGAAGCAGCTTTTATCGTCCATTTTAAATATCTATCTGAAGCCTTTCTTATAATAAAACATATAAATCCGCGACACAGATATGCCCTGCCAAAATAATAATAAGCGACAAGAACAAAAATATGGAACATTATCGCAAAAAACTCACCTTTTTTTCCCACTATCTGATGACTAGTCTTACTCCACACTCATCGTTGGCAAGTTCTTAAATAACTTAGGTATCACATAAGTTCTGTTCGCACGTAGAGAACATGAAACCACCTTAGTTAAGTACACTTATAAAACTCATCCACTGAACACTTTTTTCTCAAGTTTTAATCACCATCAACTAGAACAAGCAATATCCGAGAAAACTTTATCACTCGCATCTCTCCACTTGGACGCAATCCATCACATCAAAAAAATCCAAATTGGTTTAGAAGGAGAAAACGAGAAAAGAAAATCCACTTCCGTTGTAGGCCTATACGTATCCACACTTCTCCGAGGCTCGACGAAGTTAAGTCTCACCCAAAATAAATCCACAGGCGAGTATTCAAATTTATTCTCAAAGCGAGTATCTAATTCTTTTCTCAGGGAGGAGGAGGAGGTCGCGGCCGCACGAGCGCCTTCCGACAGCGGGCACCGGGGAACGACTGCTGGGGCTAATCTGCTGCTCCTGACAATCCCTGTTGGGTTCTGATCCTCTCCTGCTGCTGCTGGCCTGCCCTCGCCTCCTCCCCCCACCCCGCCCCCCAGCTCACGGCCGTTGGTTGCGTCGCGCGTGTATGTGCACGGGTACACGTGCGTGTGTTTACGTACGTTATGTATGGGTGTGTCTGTTTGAATGTGTGTGTGTGTTTGAGTGTGTATGTGTGTGTGTGTGTGTGTGTGTGTGTGTGTGTGTGTGTGTGTGTGTGTGTGTGTGTGTGTGTGTGTGTTTTGAGTGTTGTGTTTGAGTGTGTATGTATGTATGTATGTATGTGTGTGTGTGTGTGTGTGTGTGTGTGTGTGTGTGTGTGTGTGTGTGTGTGTGTGTGTGTGTGTGTGTGTGTGTGTGTGTGTGTGTGTGTGTGTGTGTGTTCGTTCGTGTGTCAGCGAGTGTGTACACGCGATGACGTAGGCTTCCGCTCTTGACTTCAGATAGTGAAATCATATACGCGCATTCAAGAGATAGAAAAAAAACTACAAAAAACTAATCCACTACTTCATCCTCATCAAACAAACAAAAAATCAACAAAAAAATCCCCTACAACCACACACAAAACAAAAAACAAAAACAAAAAAAACACAACACAAAAACGGGAAAAATACACGTTTTCTCCCACTTCTGGAAACACCAAGAAGCCATACGTAAACAGTTGCATCACCACTCGACGTCGAGAGAGTGGGCGGAGCTTCGAAAGACTGGGGGGGGGGGGGGAAGGGAGGTGGGAGGGACATAGGGTCGGGAGGATGCAGAGGGAAGGGGAGGGGGTAGGGGGATGCATGGGGTAACTTGTGTCCGATACGATGCGGTGGGGGGAGAGGGAGGAGGAAGGAGGAGAGGGGAGGAGGAGAGGAGGAGGAGGAGGAGGAGGGGCAGGGGGCATCGGGCACGAACCGAGGAAAAAAACACTAAACTATTCATAAACGCAACAAATTACATCACCCACTACCTCGTATACCAGAAAATACAAGTGGCATTACCAAGTCACCAGAAAAGGCAAAAAAAAAAAAGACAGAATTCCGCCAGGAGAGAGGATAAATACTCCTTGAATGTGCCTCACCCAGGTACGAGGGTCGTAAAAAATGGGCGAACAGATAAGTAGGGAAAAGGACTTACTGATAATTGGTAGAGCCAGACGTCCAGGGTGTGAGAGAAGGAAGGAGAGAGAGAGGCAACCTAGAACAGGGAAAGGAGGAAAATAGAAAGAGAGAAAAAGGAGAAAGAAAGGAGAGAGAATCGACAGGAGAGAGAGGAGAGGAGAGCGAGAAAAGGGGAGACTAGAGAAGAGAAGAAAAAAGAAAAGAGAAGAAAAGAAAGAAAAGAAATCGCACAATAAGAGAGAGAGAGAGAGAGAGAGAGAGAGAGAGAGAGAGAGAGAGAGAGAGAGAGAGAGAGAGAGAGAGAGACGAGAGAGAGAGAGAGAGAGAGAGAGAGAGAGAGAGCGTGGGTAAAGACAGTATAGATAGACAGTCGAGAGAAATCCAAGCGAGGCTAAAAACCCGACGCAACTTTTGGCAACAGACCCCCTGGAGCATTGGCCAAGCGACAAGATCTGCCTTGGAACATTATCAATGGCGGTAAGTGGGGGGAAAAAAACACCCAATCCCTTTTCTTCACTTTCATTTACCTTTTTCATACCCCAAGCTAAAAAATAGTCAACTGGCGATAAACGTGGAAATAAAACAAACAAACACCCAATCGCTTTTCTTAATTTTCATTTATATATATATATTTTTTCAAATCCTGCGCCAAACAATAGTCAACTAGCATTAAACGGGAGAAAAAAAATCCCTTTACATTTTCCTTGCTCCCCCCCCCCCTCAAAAAAGAGTCGACTAGCATCACGAACACATTTTAACGACAAAAAGAACATGAACATTTCCAAACGACAAAACGTTTCTTTGGGACCTTTCAGCCGTCATCAGCCACGGGAATTCATGAACTTGCACATGACGTAATAGGCCATGGAGACTTGCTTTACATATTTGATACTGAGATACGAGACAAATAATGAAACAAAAGACTATAAAGAAAAAAAAAATATCCCGACAAAATGATGATAAAAATAAATGGAAAACTTATCAAAATAAAACGATAATCATATGAAAAGGTGAATTATGGAATAACCTCTAGCACCAAAATGAATTAAAACAAATAACAAAAATACAATGTCGAAATCCATGCGACTCACCATACAACACGGTGATTCTCTTCTTTGCTGTTCTTATAAACACCAAATAACACAATTGCCTTGAACAGAACGCCGGCCACGAGAACAGAAAACCTAAAACCAAACCGGACGGAATGCTCACTCACTCTCCCTCTCTCTAACGTTTTATCCCAACGAAGAAACGGCACTTTTACGTCACTTTACGTCACTTTGCGTTATAGCGCTCCTTGCGCTATACTGCTCCCGTCTTACGTCAGACTCGAGTGAATGTCGGGAGCGGGGCACAGTACTCAGGTGGCGGGGCCGGCTTCTCGGAGTGTGAACATGCCCGGACACGCTCTCGCCGGAGAACTTTCTAGCTCCGGGGAAGAAAAGGTTTTCGCGAGAGCCTTCTGGAGGCCGGCGGGGCTCGTGTGTGTTTGAGGAACGGCGTGTTAAAGCGGGGGGAAAAAGCGTTTGTTTATGGGTGGGTGGGTTTCATGTTGCAAACTTCTGTAAGACACGTCGGGGATTCGAAGCATACGTGTACGAGACACGTCGGAGATTCGAGAAGGTTCTGTCGAAAGTTTTTTTCTCCCTCGGTGCTCTCAAGTTCTCTGTCCTCAACGTG